GAGAAAGGACAAGGGGTGGAGACAGGGCTCACAGAAATGCCCAGTGATTCACAGAAGACTATATTCATGGAAACGTTGCCCTGGGAGTGCAGAAAGTAAAGCCTTTTTACTTAATGCTTATGTTTAGCTGGATTGTGGGGCATCCCTGGGGTGAAGGGAATCACTGATGCAGGGAGTGTTGGTAACTGCGTCAGTGCAGATTTGAGGAGGTGGTATGAAGGGACGCTTACCCCCACCCCCCATAATTCCTGGCCGCTGGGAAGCAGCTGACCATTCAGATGTGCATTTTGCCCAAAGGCACCCCCAGGAGAACCACACATTCCACAATCCAAGGCTGGGCTCAGGCTTGGGGGCAGGGAAGGTCTCAAAACCTGCTCCCTCGGGCTTCTGATGCTCTGGGGTAAAATGAGGTTGTTCAGATAACCTTCTCCACTCCCTGTCCGAGTTTTCCAACACGAGGTTGCAAGTAGACAAGATATTTCATTTCTTAAAAAAAAAAAAATAATAATTCCAGACAAAATCTGAGGACGATAAATACAGAATCTGAAATCTGGAAAGCTCATTTATCTCTCTCTCTTTTTCTTTTTAGAAAAAATTCAACTGTGTTCAAATACCCCCCACTTCCCTTCACCATACCACTTCTCTCCCCGTGGGTCCAGAAGGCTTTTGAAACGCTGGCTTGGATGTTACCCAGACCAACAACCCAAACAGCAGCAACGACAACAAAAACCCCTTCTTCATCAGCCCCAAGATTGTGAAAATGACAGGAAGTCCAGCTTGGCTCTGGCATTTATAGCACTGACATACATTTAGCCCAGAGAAGCTCTGGTGACAGGCTTTCTAAACAAGGCCCTGTCCTGGGCCCTCTTGTCAGGCCTGGAGTCCAATAACCACGCCTCTCACACCATCCACTGGGCGCACACATCAGTCAAGCCTTTCCTGGTCTGGGAAGGGAAGAGAAGAAAGACAAGACCTGGGGGTTCTGCAGTCTTTGGTAGGCCCAGGTTCCTATCTTAGCCGCCTGTGACTTCTGCAGTCACAGAATCTTGCCTGCCCTTGAGCAGGAGGGCCCAGCGGGCCCTCTGATGGCAGTGAGTAGGCGGCAGCCATCTTGGCTCCGAGCATTGGTGTTCCCCTGAGTCTTCTCTCCCCTCAACCAGAGGTGCCTCCTGCAGATTTGGGAAGCCAAGAGCTGGGGAGGTGGGGGCTGGAAGCCCGGTCTGTTTAGCCAGTCCAGGCAATGCTTCCCTTGCGGGACGAGATGAAGCCTCAGTGATCATATCCCATCTTCTTGCTGGCAGAAAGTCAGACCAGAAAAAGTCAAAATCTGGGAGAATGTCTTCCTTGAGGCCTCCAACCCAACCCCCCCTTGTCCTTACTCCTGGCCCCCATTCTTCCTCTGAGAGCTAGGTCAGTTGGTGTACATTTGTGGAGGGGAGGGGAGGGGTCTCTCCTGAGGATTCTAGCAGAGTCTATGCTCCTCGTGGCTCGGCCCTTGTGCTTGGCCGGTGCAGGCGCCCGTAGGTCATTGGGTGACAGTGGGGTTTAACACCCCCGCAGCTGGCCCCAGAACCCCAGGGACGGAGCCGGGCACCGAGCCTTGCAGGGAAGACACAGGACTCAGGGGCTCCGGGACGCTTCTCAGAGGGCCTGGCGGCGGCTGGGGGGGCTGTGGTGCCGGCGGTGGGGGCTGCGGCTGCTGCTGCTGCTGCTGCTGCTGCTGCTGCAACTTCTTCTTGTTGATTTTCCTTTCCTTCGCTCTGCGGTTCTGAAACCAAATTTTAACCTGGACGTGGAAAATGGAGGGGAAAACAGGAGGGTGAAGAAGACGATGCAAGGGGAAAACGAATGGCCTTCAGCACCAGCATCTACCCCTCCAGTTAAAGAAGTGCCCTCTCTAAAGGACCCCCAAACCTTCTCCCAGACGTTCATTCGAGAGCCCCGTGACAGCCCCAGCCCTGGAGCCCTTCCCAAGCCCAGTAGGGTCTCGGG